CTGCAAGTATCAAGCTTCTGTCTCTAAACGGGTGTTTTATGATTACAACTGGCCTTCTGACCAATATTCCAAATTTAATAGATTATCTGCTGCTTCAGGTGAAAAGACTTTTAAGTCTCCAGACCACCACTCTGTTCCACATCAGGTTTTCACACTCATACTCTCAACCAGCATTTTCATCATTGTTTGTATTTTATGTTTGTTGTTGTTATTTGTTTGTTTGTTTAGTTAGTAATAAATGTTGTGTGTGTGTGTATACAGTTGTTTCCTGTGTTTTCTATGGCTTACATTCAGTCACTTTACGTATGTGATCTTTAGTTACCTGAGCTCTAAGTTAATTCCCATAACTTTATAAAACACTCTTGACTGATCACCAGGAGTAAACAAGTTATTAGAATTATTATGCTGACTCTGAGATTATATCGCTGGACGAATAATTCAAAGGTTGGTTTGAATAATTTTAATTAATGCAATCACTTGCTTTAGTGTGTGGAAATAAGTTGATCTTATTTTCTACCTACACCTTCCTTTAAAGGAATCGCTTTTTTTTTTTTCATATAGCACAAAAATTAGCATCAAAATGAAGCTTCTCATCCAGAATATGTTTCATCGTTAACACAGAATAGAGGAAACCCAGTGTGACTGCTCCTCTGAGCGGCCTTCAGTCTGTCAGCATGTTGTCGCTGCAGGTCAAGACCAAGCTGCCGGGTTTCACCGCCAGGCTTCAGAGACCAGCAGCATTTCTCTCAACGCCGCCGTTCAACACGCTCGGCTATTTTCAGCCTCCGTAACAAAGGCGCCTTCTCCTACCATCCAATTTGCCGTCCCACACCTCCTCCCACTCCCAGCAATCAGCAGAGAGCTGAAGCGCAGCTGCACTCGCCTCCAGCAGACGCACCAGCGCAGCCATCTAGACAAAAACCCACATTCTGTCAAAGGGGTTTAAATGTAAGCTGGTCTTCCTGGAAGGGAAGCTCAGAAAGTCCTGATGAAGTCATCAGAAGCATGTCTGTGAAGGTTCTCAGTCCTCCAGGTCCTGGTTCTTCTGGTAG